ATGATCATTATCTCTTGGAACGCGAGAGGTCTTGGCTCATGGGACAAACGCGCCTTGATTAAAAGCCTTATCACCAAACAAAATCCTACCATCGTCATCCTACAAGAAACAAAGTTAGACAAGGTGGACGACCTCACCATCAAGTCTCTTTGGAGCTCTCGGGATATTGGTTTGACTGATTTGGATGCTTCTAGTTCTTCAACGGGTATTCTTATTATGTGGAACGATCCCTCCTTGTATCAGACATCACTATGGGCCTTTTCTCATTAACCATCCTTATAAACTTCTCTGATGGTTTTAAATTTTGGCTTACAGGAGTCTATGGACCATCAAGAGGAAAAACCTAGTTTCTGGCGAGAAATGGAAGATCTCTCGTGCCTCTGATATGAGTTTTGGCTCATTGGTGGGGATTTCAACTCCATCAGATGGTCGCATGAGAAATCAAATTACCGTCGACCAACCAGAAACATGGGCTGCTTCAACTCCTTCATTGAGAATGCAAATTTACAAGATCTCCCCTTAACAAACAGGCTCTACACCTGGTCTGATTTTAGGGAGGACCCAACACTCTCTTTCGATAGATTCCTTGCAACCAAGGATTTCCTTGCAAAATTCCAGAATGGCTTGGTAAAACGGTTAAATCGCCCGACATCAGACCACTACCCCCTCCATCTCTCTTTTGGCTTGGCAAAATGGGGCCCTACCCCTTTCCGGTTTGAAAATGCATGGCTTCAACACCAATCTTTCAAACCTTTGGTTGATTATTGGTGGCATAACACTCCTCTCCGAGGCTGGTTAGGGCCCTGTTTTATACAAAAGCTAAATGGGCTAAAACAAGTCTCGAAGACATGGAACATTGCCACATTTGGAAACATCATTCAACAAAAGAACCAACTTCTTTCAGAGCTCTCCCTACTGACCAGTATAGAAGAGGATGTTGGTTCTGTTCAATCTTCCCGAAGGAAATCCATTAGAGCTCAATTGCTGTCCAACGTGGCCAAAGAGGAGATCCTATGGAGACAGAGGTGCAAATCCAGATGCCACATGAGGTGACCTAAACACACCTCCTTTTTCCGCAGATCAGTGGCTGCAAAGAGGAGGAAAAGTTCCATCACAGAAATCCTTTCATCGGAAGTTACTAGCCTCTTTGAAGAGGTTGAAATTGAACATGAATTTCTCTCTTTTTTTGATCGGTTATACACCAAAAAAGAAGGCTCAAGATACCTCCCCACGCCTCTAGATTGGAACCCAATTACTGCTCAACAAAGTTCCGATTTAGAGCAACCATTTTCAAAGGAAGAAATATGGAGGTCAGTAAAGGATTCAGGAACAAACAAATCTCATGGGTCCGATGTTTAAACAATTTTGGAACACTCTTAGGCCCGACATCATGAGGGTGTTCCAAGATTTTTTTAAGAACGGTATTATCAATGCAAGCCTCAACGAAACATATATTTGTCTCATCCCAAAGAAGGTTGATGCTCGAAAGGTTGGAGATTTTCGTCCCATCAGTCTCATTCATACCCTTATAAGATCATTGGTAGAGTTCTATCCGAAAGGCTAAAAAGACTTCTGCCACACACCATCACCAAAGAACAATATCCTTTTGTAGCTAGAAGACAAATTCTTGATGCATCTCTAATAGCAAACGAGATCATTGAGGAATGAGATAGGAAAAAGAGAAAGGGAGTGGTCATAAAGCTTGACATTGAAAAGGCATTCGACAAAGTTGATTTGGATTTTCTTGATGAGGTTCTGGCCGCGAAAGGTTTTGGAAACACTTGGAGAAATTGGACTCGGGGTTGTGTCTCTTCAGCAAATTTCTCCCTAATTATCAACGGTCATCCCCAGGGTAAAATTATTGCTTTTAGGGGTCTCCTCCGTCAAGGGGATCCACTCTTCCCCTTTCTATTTATCTTGGTTGATGTTTTTAGTAGATTGATGACACATGCAGCAAACAACAACCTTATTAAAGGCCTTGATTTTGGGTGCAACACCTTGTCCTTTCACCATCGCAGATGACACCATCCTTTTCTCTCCATATGAAGACTCCTCCCTCACCAACATGTTCAACATCATTAGTCTCTTCGAGGTAGCATCCGGGCTTAACATAAATCACCAAAAATCCAAAATCTTGGGGATTAATCTAGAGGAAAGCGAGCTGTCATCTCTAGAATTGAAGTTTGCTAGCAAAAGAGGTAGCTGACCTTCTACTTATCTCGGCTTACCACTTCATTACAAGCATCGGTCTCTCACTTTTTGGGATCCTATGATAGAGAAAGTCCGAAAGCACATTTTATCTTGGAAAAGCTCCTACATCTCTAAAGGTGGAAGCCACACCCTCATCCAAGCCACGCTCTCAAACCTCCCTGCCTATTACCTTTCCCTCTTCCCTTTGTCCTCTAAAGTGGCTCAAATTCTGGACAGCATCTTCACAAATTTCGTTTGGAAAGGCAATAAGGAAAACAATGGTCTCCACCTAGTCAAAAGAGCTATTACACAACAACCCACCCACGAAGGGGGCCTAGGGATTGTAAATATGAAGATGAAAAATAGAATTATCCTTGCTAAATGGCATTGGAGATACATTAGGGAGGACACGACTTTTTGGAGGGAGGTCATCGAGGCAAAATATGGTAAAGTATCCTGGAACCACAAACCCATCTCTTCTTCCCTAACCTCGGCTAAGAGCCCTTGGAAAGCCATTTTAAGGACACATAATCTGATTTTCGACCGGCTGGCTTACAAAATCGGTGATGGCAGTAGCATTTCTTTTTGGCAGCAACCTTGGTTGAATGGAGAGCCCCTCAAATAATCTTATTCCCTCCTTTTTGCATTAACATTGAGAAAAGAGGCTCCCATTTGTGCTTTCTGGACAGATCTAGTCTCTACAAAGCTATTTGGAAGGGTATTTGCCCAAAAAAAGTCAGTTTTTTTCTTTGGGAGCTTAGTCACCGTGCCATCAACACAAATGGCAAGCTACAGAGAAGGCTCCCCTACATGGCCCTTTCTCCACAGTGGTGTACCATTTGAAAAGTCAGCTCGGAATCACAAGCGCACCTTTCTACCGCCTGCACCTATTCTTCTGCTTTTTGGAGGATCATTCTCAACTCATTTGGATGGTCAAAGAGTTCTGCCAAATGATCCCCTTGTCCTTCTTGATGCCACTCTTGTCGGGCACCTTATCAAAAACAAAAAAGAATTGCTTTGGACGAGTTTTATACTTTTATACAAGCTTTCCTTTGGACTATTTGGGGCGAAAGAAACCAGCGGACCTTCAACGAGAAACAACAACCTTTTGAGAGGTTTTTTGATGCTATAGTTTACAAAGTTGTCACTTGGTGTAAAACTTCTCCTATTTTCTACCACTATAGCTATACTTCCCTCTTGAAAAATTGGAAGTGTCTTACGTAATCCTTCTTGGACTTTTGTAATTTCACACATCAATGAAATTGTCTCTTACACTTAAAAAAAAAAAGAAAGTTTAAGTCTGGGAATTCCAAAAGCCTTAGTCTCGGTACTGGAAGAATCTAGATGAAGTTATTGAAGAAGTGCAAGTAAACTTGAATGAAGCTTTCAATGAAGAAAGAGAAAGACATTGTGAAGGTAAGAAAGACAAGAAAATGTCTCTCTCTTATGGTTCAATAAACTCCACAAATGAAGGTAAGGCTCGAAGGAATTCTACCCTTGATATTTCAGACAACGATTTTGAAGATGAAGATGCACTGGTTAGCATTAGCAGCTTAGATTCTTCTCGAAAGTCTATAGACCTTTCTTTGGGTGATTATTGTGATCAGTCCTTAGGAAGATTTTCAGACCCCTTTAATGAAAAACAGAAAGTTGAAAGTCAGTAAATACAAACCAAACAGTCATTCCTCCATATTTTGAAGAAGTGGGGATCACTTTGATTCCAATCGATTTGGATCTTTAACTTCTAAGGTGAAGGATCATCATTAAAGTTGAGTTTCTATGTGTAAGGAGTTTATGTACTGCAAGGAACCCTCAGTTTCTCATTTTGCTTGGCTGGTACGTGTTTGGTTTGGCTGTGCTTTGGTGATTTTGTCTTTGAAGTTGATGTTTCAGGGTAGCTGTTCGTCCCAGTTTTTGGTTGATACTCATTATTGAATAAGCTGACTCCTCTGCTTTAAGACAATATTTTCGATCTTCAAGATGTTGAATTGGTGCATTTCTTTTCGAGTTATCCTTGGTCAGGCTTCCTTGTTTTGGCCTTAAAGGTGCCTTTATACGTGGATTTCACGGGGATTTGAATTCTCTTTGCAGACTTCATTTTATTGTAAGTCTCAAAGGCTGATGATTTGGTTTCCAAGGAGTTTTCCTCCTTATTCTTGCTGGTTTCAGCAGATAAAGAGACTTCGTTGGTCCAAGTATTTGAAGTGGTTTTTATTGTCATGCTTCTCTTATTTGAACAAGGGGATTCTTTTGGTGTTCGGGTTTAAAGTTGAAGTATCCCCCCCTGCCCCAAAGTCCTCTAAAAGGTCTCTTCTATACAATGTCCTCTCATCGGCCTTACTCTGTTACTTCTTTGGGTTTCTTCTCCAATGAAAAGCGGCTTGACTTTCTATGGGAGTTTGCAAAAGTGCTAAATAATATGGCATGTTGAGAAGAAGCTCGTTTAAGAAGAAGATTAGATCTGCTTTCTGAATGGAAGTTGGAGTATGATACACTTTTTGGCAAAGTTCAGAATCCTTGGGCTTGATTTTGATCCAAATTACAATTATGCTTGCTGATGGTCTCTTGGCTCTCGAAGTTTTGGCAGCTTTCTTTCTTTTGTTACATCTTTTAGCCTAGCTTCTGGGTTTTCTTTGTTTAATTCCTTATGTATTCTGAATTTTCCTTTTGCTGTTTTCATTTATTTTTCTTTTGGCCACTTTCACTCCCATTGGGAGTATGCATCTTGGAACATTGTATTTCCTGAAGTTCTTGTTCTGAAAAATTAAATGTTCTATTGGTGATGATGAATCTTGACGCAACATTTTCAGGTTTCCAGGAAAATGACGAAGCATCTTGCTCAAATGCACACTATACAGGAACAGGTTTGAATGTGCCATTTGTGCAGTTGAGGTGTCATGGAAAAATTGTATTGGCTAAGACGTGCCCAATTTTTAATAGGTGAACTCAGCTAAATCTGTTGAAAAAGAGTTTAAGGCCTTGAAAGCTAAGCTAAGTGATGAGGAACTTCTAGATAAGTCGCTTCAGGTCAAAATGGTTGAACTTCAAGCAAAAGGTGGCTTTCAATGGAGTCTTCTACTTCATTATTGGACTGGTTGTTTAGTGCCCTATTCTTTTCTCTGTTTTTTCTTGTAAAAACAATGTGTCTTCTTCTTTTCTTTCAGTGCAACAGTTGGAAGATTTAAGAAGGCAGACAGAGAAGGGGAGAGATGTGAAATGTGAGGAAGCTACTAAGGATTTGAACAACGTGCGGTTGGAGGTTGAATCCATGAGGCTTGATCTTGAACAAAGGCAAAGCAACGTCGAAGCAGTGCTCATGGAGGTTTTTTTGCTTCTTAATCTTTATCTTTTAAATGGACCTACTCTAGTTCACTTTCTCATGACAAGAATTCTTGTTTATTTGGTTTGCTCTTTATTTTGGTGGCAGGTTGATGCCGTGACTTCAAAAACCAATTCCATAAGAGAATCCAGCGTTCATAAACAGCAAGAATTACTACATAAATGCGAGGATATTATAAAAGAGGTGAACCCCATAATTTCACCTGTTTATTCATTCTATCTGCTTTTGCTCACGTTTTTCAAAAGTTGGAAACCGAAAACCAGATTTCTATTTGAAAAGTTTGTACACAAATTTGGACACATTTCTTAAAAGCAAGAAAGGAATTGTTACTAAACAGGAGAAACAAAAGTATTATCAAATGTTCCCAAGCAATTCACATTCTTTTTTCTTTTAGTTTATGTTTCTGAGTTGAGTGTGCAGTTAGAATGGTTATATGTATAAATGATAATTGCAGTTTCACCAGTACACAAACTCAGTTGGGGCTTTGATGGAAGTGGAGCCATAAGGAAGAGGAAGAGGAAGAGGAAGAGGAAGAGCTGGCACCTTCCATTGATAAGGTGAATTTCTGGAAATCTGTAGTCTGTTGCACTTTTGATTTATAATTTGAGTTTCTTGCATTAATCCATATATGTAATCCTGATCCTTTCTTTGAGCTTCTGACTGTTCAGTATGTGCCATTGCTGCTAATCAAACAGCTCATGTAAATATTGTGTTTGTTTGTAAGATTGATGTGGAGTTTGCTTCAGATCAGTTCAAACATCTTCTGAAGGATTATATTTTCTTTCCCAATGTAAAATGTGGTTGGTTTGTCGTCTCTAATTCTTGTTTCCTTGGGCTGAAATCTAGATGGTGATCATGTCGGAGGATGGTAGAGATGAACCACTTGAGCTATGCTCGGTTTAACGAGTAGTGAGATTGCTTACCTTTAAAGATAATAGAGAGTAATGCACATGAAATTTATCATTTTATTTTACTAAATAAATAATGACATCCATATACAAAACATAGGAATTTTAAAAATCTACAAAAATAACATTCAAATCCCAATATTATATAAAGCAACATGAACTTTATAATTTAAAATTTATTTTGTAATTTTAATTATTTCAATTTTTTAAAGTTTGATATTTAATTATTTGATTCCAACACTATCAGATTAAAAAAATTAAACTAAAATTTGAAGGGTATATCAAAAAATCTGACTAAAATAAAAGAGAATGCAAGACACCGAGGAGAAAAAGATACCCAAAGAAAAAAGAATGATAAGTTTTTGCGTGAAAAAAGTTGAAGAAAGAGTAAGGAAAACCTTTTTATATATTTGTTATGGGATAAAATTTTTAGATTCCAAAACTTTTCAAATTTCATTATTAATTATAATTAAAAATAACTAACAACTTTTTAAAATTAATTTATAGGAATAAAGAGAAAATTTACCTATTCTAACTCTTTAGGCAATAATAAAAAAAAATTTAACTGTTTTACCCAATAATTAACTTCTTCATTTGATGATTCTAAAAAAATTCTAAGTAGTTGGGGAGGAATGTGGATGGGTGGGCGAGAGAAAATAAAGAATTGAAGATTGATTTGAGAGAGAATTAACGAGAGAGAATAGTAAGTTGAATTTGAAGATATTTAGTGAAAGTGATCTTGGGATAGAGTTGAATGACAAAATTGCCATAATAGAGAAAAAATTAAATTAAAAGGATAAAGTTGAGAAATAAGAATTTTACATATAATATAGATCTAAGGTGAGAAGCATTTGAAAAGAAGTGAAAAGTACTTTTTTAACTACCTGAAAGTAGTTGATTATATAGTTAAATGTAGGGATTAGTACATTGATGGGTTATACCTAATTACATAAAAGATGAAATGTACGTAATTTACACTTTTGTCCTGAAATAAACTTATTTAAGATGGTACACATCACTTAAATTACAAAACTATCCTCTCTTGTATATACACATTAATATTAATTGATTTTTAAATTCCATAATTCATTAATTGGAAGGTTATATTTTGAATCCCATGATATTTTCTTAATATGATACTTTCCAAAAGAAGCTAAAATATCAAAACATCAAAAAATATCTCCAAATTCCCCAAATTCGAAAACCCCCAAATTCGAAAATAGTGACGATTCGTGTCTTTTTCTCCGTTCGCCGGAATTATTCATCCGACTGCTTGCGCCTTCTCCGACGATTCATCTCGATTTCGTCTGCCCCTCTATTCGTCTGCTTCGTCTGTCTTAAAGGCTTAGTATCCGTCGCAGAGTTGTCTGTTCCCGTCGTCAAGCAATCCGTTTCTGTTCTACCATCGTTCCGTTTCTGTCCGCTCCTTCGTCTCCAATCCCCACCTCCGTTTTTCTCTGTCGCCAGACCAGTTCGTCTCCGTTTATCCCGATCGAAAAATTTGCATTTTAATATATCCTAATATATCCTAATGTTGAAAATCTTGTTTTTTTGTTTGTACTGTTAAACCCTTTTCTTGTACTATTTTTTTTTGGTATATCTTCCAATATATCCTAATGTTGCTTCCATACCCAAGTAGTATCCAATAGTTGTATATATAGAGTTATATGGGAATATATCTTATAGCAAGTTTGATCTTAGCATAAAAAGCACCGTAACAAATTTGTGCATTTCCCTTTTTGTGTGTAGGGATATATGGGGATATATCTTATAATGGTTGTCTTTTAGTCTTTACCTTTTTGTGTATARGGATATATTGGGATATATGGGGAAAAAGTGCTCGAACGGAGAGGAATCTGTTGAATCAAATCTGAAATGCATCCGGCAGTGGCTTCCAACAACCGGTGGGAATTTACACACGAAGAGACATGTTTTTCCATTAATAATAATGGTAAATAATGAGAATAAATCTTAAATTTTTTTAAGGAGTGAATTAAGCAATTAGTGTTGAAATTTTGTATGGGGCCACAATAATTAATGGAATATGATTACAATTTAAGGATTCAAATCTTTTAAATTAAAAAAAAAAACTATAATAAAAGTAAATGTAATGACTAAGGGTAAAATCAGTATTATAAAAAAATCTTACCTGCAGAAATCTAAGTGTAAAATTGAAAAACTTTAGATATTTGTGAAATTAAGTTTAAAAAAGAGCCCTCCGACAACATTATCTCTTAAAGGGGATTAAAATTTTACAAACATTTAAAAACAAATTTATGGTTTATCTTGTTTGGTAAGAATTCTTACAAAATGAGTGTTTTTCTCTCAAGAGTAGTCCACCTAGACTACTATTCTCAAAATCATCTCAAACAATTATGCTTTGAACTCTCAAATTCGAGTTTGTTATTTATTTGGTCCCTGAAATTTTAAAAGTAACACTTCAGTCAACAATATTTTGAAAATGATTTAAATGGTACTTTCTTGAATTTCACTTAATGAAATGTTGATTGGATCGTTAATTGTGAGCGTGAGTTTCACTGACATGTCGATTTTTAAAAAATAATAGTGCGACTTGAGTTGGACAAAATTAGAATGGAAATCAAACCAAAGGTGAATTAAATAAGAAGTGCCAACATGAATTTAGCTCAGCGGTAATTGACACCTATCATCGATTAAGATACCGTGAGTTCGAATTGCAATCTCCTGACTATTGTATCAAAAATAAAATAAAATAAAAATAAACGAAAGCTAAAAACCTTGCATGATCATCCATTTGCTCCTAAGCTTCCACTATATTTGAAGCATGATTATTACTGTGGCTAAATGAACTTCCCAGCTTGCTAAGATTCATGCACTACTTTCCTCTCATGTTAAGCTCAAGGTTCTCTTGATAAGCTTAGTTTTTCTTTGATTTTCACATCTTTTTATTTATGCATGTCTTTTTAAACTTTTCAATCATGTAACATTGTCTATGGATCAAAACACTTCAAACATGGACGTGATTTTGGTGGGGTCGAGGATGAGGATGAGGATGGAGACCGCATTCCGTGTCCCCCTCCTCAAAATTAAAATGGAAAAAAAGAGAAGAAAAATTCTCAGTCTCTACCTAATATAGATATTCAAAATATGAGGTATATTAACCTATAGAATTGGAATTGATATCTTTGTTTCGATATGAATGGATAAATATTATTTACAACTATAGTCTCGAACATTTTGTTTGTTTTAATGAAAGCTTTTTAGACTTATTAGAAAACAATTCAATTTTAGATAGATAAAGTTAGCGTCCATTGCTATGCGAAGTTTGTTTTGGATTTAGATCATTTAAAAGGTGATTTTGCTTATGCTTTTTCATCTACTATTTAAGGTATGAGGAATATTGGGAGGTGGTTGTATTTTTAGTAGGAAAGAAATTAAATGCTAAGGAGATGCTAAATGAAGCTATCAAAAAGTATGTGACAAAGGATTCATAAAATGTAAAACTAGTGAACAATGATTAACTATGAATTTGCATGTCTCTATGATATTTGACGAGTTTACCTTTCAAGTAAAAACATACTCTAGTAATCATAATTATCAACATGCAGATAAGAATGACTCCATTTATCCAAAACGTCATGTGTAGTTGTAGAGTCGTTGGATTTGGTTCCTGCGATTGCTGTAGGATGACATTGGACCATATCGGACTAAATTTTTTTTTTCTTTTAATAGAGTTTAGTTATAGCTTTTGATGATTTCTTTCCAAATGCCACTCATCTATTTTGTGTGAGACATTTACACATTAGTTTTCAAAATATATATAGAATTTATATGGTTTTTTTTTAATATTGTTTTTTTAGAAGACTTTTTTAATATTGTTGTAAATGAAACTTATTTTAAAAAATAGTTGTTTGGGGCGCCACATCAATTTTTTTTTTTAAATTTTAACGTGAAGAGACGACCATTCAAGAGATGACCATGTAAGATGGTCGTCTTTTGAAGAGACGACCACGTCTCAACATTTGGCACGTGTAGATGGTCGTCTCTCTTTTTCTTAAACACCTACCCCACCACCCAACCCCACCACCAAACCCTAACCCTTATTTTATTCCACCGCCTCCTCCTTCTGTCCCGCCGCCGCCGTCGTCTGACCCGCCACACCGGTGAGCGGCTGCCCTTTTTTTTCTTTCAGTTTTTTGTTTCTTTTATTTGTTTCTTTTTCAAGATTATCTAAGGTAATCTAATTTCGTTTTATTCTCCTTTTTTAGATTTGAGACCACTTCATTCCTTTCTTTTTGGAATTACAAGGGATCAAAGTATTTTTTTTCGTTTTCTTTTATTATTACTATTCAATTTTATTTATTTATTTGTATAATGTGAATTGGTGAATGTATCTAATTTATTTGTTTAATTCATACATATATTTTTAATTCGTTTCTTTATTGGATGAATTTAGGCAATTATAAAATCATGTATTTATTTTGTGTTAGAATGAAACTTAGTTTATTCTTTTGATTAGTGTAGTTAGATTTAATTGTTAGTTAATATATTATTTATTTGTTTAAATAATATATATTTATGTAATTTATTTATTTTATTAAATAATCGTAGGTAATTATAATTATAAGATTATGCATATTTTTGTATTATAATTCTTAATTACTATCTTTTTATATGTTTAGTTAGTTTATATGTATTGATTTGCTTTTTTATTTAATACATGTGTGCAATTATAAAATTATACCATTTTTCTTACAATTAAATTTAGGTTATTTATTTGATTGGTGTAGTTAAATTTAATTAGGAACTTAATTAAAGATATCATTTTCTAATTTAGGATTGAAATGACAGCTAAATGTTTGGCGATTGTACTGTATATGAATGGAGGTACTATTGATGGTGTAAATGAAATTGATTACAATGGACCGTCAA